GGAAACATTTATATGTTTTTCTAAAAATTGAGCATTAATATAAAAATACATTGATGCAAAACTAGAATTTGGTCCTCCTGTTAAAACAACACTTTTTTTTTTTAGTATTTATGTGCTCTAAATAGGAAACTGTGAAAGGTCTTTTTTTACCTTTTAGGAATTGGCCCAAAAAACAAAGATTCTGTGTTTTACCAAGATAATTTCCTTTGCTTTGTGTTGTCTTTTTTAGGTGTTTGATTACTTAAGAACACTGAGCCTTCTCTACTAAAACAGCTGAGGTTTTTCTATAACTATGTAACTTTCTATATTTGTTTTTTTAAGTCTTTTAATTATTACCTTGGTTAAAGAAATGAATTGTTCACAGTGACCTGTGATCCTATTTTAAGCAAATATTTTAACTCTGATATTTTTGATAAACGTCTAAAATCAAATTCTAAATTAAGTCTTTTTCTGGATCTCAAATTAATTTTTGTATTTTCAAGATGAACTTTTGGAACTTTTCAAAGAAATACCTCTCCTGATAAAAAGAGAGATGTTAAAATAACTGGACTTATTTGACATATTGAATTGTATGGGAAGCACTGTCAAATAATAAAAGTAATAATTTTCTTTGAGTTCTATTTGCATCAATATGTTATTAATGTGTTTCAGACCCTGTATAAAGTTTACAGAAATCTAACAATCCTGGTAGTGTAATCACCTAACCTGGGTTAGCCTAACTGACTCCATCTTAGCTGCAAACCTGACAAGCTCTCTAGAGCCTCTCCCTCCCTGCCGCAGCCCTTCAGGTGCATTACTGGGTCACCTGCACTCAAAGCTTTGAACCATTAAGAGTGACTCCCACTGTTCATAGTACCTGTAACCACTGTAACCGCATCCTGCTTGGCAAGGATACCTTCCTTGGTGATGGATTGTTTGGAAAGTTCCCCCGGCTACCCACCTTAGTGATTGTATGGAAATGCCCTTAGCAACCAACAATCCTGGAAACCTCCTGCCCCCTGGTTACCAGCCTCCTCCTACTAACTTGCTTCTTCTGCTTCTGTAAAATTCTCCTTCAGCTAGGCTGCCCCCTCCCCTACCTAAATCAAAGTGTAAAGGGAAATCAAACCCCTTCCTCAGGACTGAGAGATTTTGAGCATTAGCTGACTCTCGGTCGCCAGCTGAATAAAGGACTCATAATTTGAAACGGAGAGAGTGGCGTTTCCTTCTAACTCGCTCGGTTATTACAGTATAACTCTAACAATCATAATTCTAGTTACTATATTAAAACGTTTTATGCAAAAGAAATAACCAAAACACTTAGTCAATTGCATCATTACTATAGTGAACTGTCATCATATATTTAACCAAGTCTTGTCATTTACAGGGTGGTTAATTATTTACTCTGATACTTTCCTGAGTAACCATAAGCCCAAAGTGTTTCATCTTCATGGAGATTCATGAAAAAGACTCTAACAAGTACAGGTTTCTGATAACTTTAAGATTGCACCATTGGACAGTGCAAGAATTCCCAGAACTTTACTGGAGTAAGTTACTGGTTCACAAAACTCCTAACCCAACAACAAGTAGAACAAGAATTAATACCAAGGAAATGACCTGGCAGGCTTTCCTGCTAAGTCAGCCAGTACTGAAATTACTAAGATATGCAATTTGAATGAACTCCTATAAGATTGAGTTAAGTCAAATTCCCTGTGATAACTTATTTAACAAACGGTGCTGTGCACCTGAATTGGAGACAGAGAATAGACATTTAAGGGGATGTAAATCCAATGGTAAGCATAGATTCATGGAGAGCCTGAATGGCTACCTGCTTCTTCCTAAGTCCTTAAAGTTTCCATTGTCAAAAGCTGTGCACTCCATGACTTATCATGGGAAAGATAAAAGTATCCAAATTGTGAAGAAATATTGGTGGAATGACTCTTCTAAAAGGGATAAAATGATTAATGCCCACTGGCTTGTCAAATCCACAATTCTGATAAGACAATCAAAACTTTAGGTGGTGCATTTCCACTGTTTGAGGGATCACTTGACCATTCACGGACAGACTGAATTTCAATTTCTACCCTCAATGAGGTATCGGAAAGTTCTTGTAATATTTTGTATGTTTTTTGATTGTATAAAAGGTTTTCTATGTAGAAAAGCTGATACTATGATGATAATCAAGAAGTTATTAGAGGCTGGGCACGGTGGCTCATACCCGTAATCCCGGCGCTTTGGGAGGCAGAGGCAGGAAGATTATTTGAGGACAGGAGTTCAAGATCAGCCCATTTCTGAATGTCACTTTCTTTTTCTGTTTATAAATACTGCCTGCCCATATTGCTGGTGGAACTCTCTGAAACTTTACTGGTTCAGAGTGCTGCCCAATTCATGAATTATTTCTTTGCGCAAATAAACTGTGCCAAATTTAATTTGTCTAAGTATTTTTTTTTTTTTTTTTTTTGAGACAGAGTTTCGCTCTTGTTACCCAGGCTGGAGTGCAATGGTGCGATCTCGGCTCACAGCAACCTCCACCTCCTGGGTTCTGGCAATTCTCCTGCCTCAGCCTCCTGAATAGCTGGGATTACAGGCACGTGCCACCCTGCCCAGCTAATTTTTTTGTATTTTTAGTAGAGACGAGGTTTCACCATGTTGACCAGGATGGTCTCGATCTCTTGACCTCATGATCCACCCGCCTCGGCCTCCCAAAGTATTTTTTTTTTAACAATTGTGAAATGATCACAATTAAGCTAGTTAACATACCCATTACATTTGCATAGTTACTCTTTTGTGCATGTGTGCATGCATGTGTTTGTGTGTGGTGAGGAGATTTAAGATCTGTCTTCTTAGCAAATTATAAGTATACAGTATTATTAACTATCTTCACCATACTATGCATTTGATCTCCAGAACTCATTTGTCCTGTATAACGGAAACCCTTTGACCAAAATTAATGCATTTGCCCCTCCCCTCCAGCTCTTGGAAACCACTATCCCAGTCTGTTTCCATAAAATTTTACTATTTTAGAGTCCACATATAAGTGAGATCATGTAGTACCCATCATGGGTTTATTTTGAGGCCTTGAATAAATCACCATCTCTCTGTGCTAGGGTATTCTGAGTTAGACTCAATATAAAAGATGATTTTTTTCAGTAATATATTGCAAAACATTTCATAATTCAATGGTTCTTTTCCCAGAAAAAAAAAAAAAAAAACCCCGGGAAATATGCAATAGTCAAAAAGTGTCTGACTCAACTGATCTTTGGAAAAACCATCGGTATAACTCCAGATAGCCCTAACTTCTGAAGGTAATACTGCCGGGCCTCTGTTGATAAACAAGCAAAAGCACAAAACCACACGCACGAAAACCAGCTTCTTGTCTTTAAGTGTGCAAGAATGTTAGCACTTAAAATTTTAAGATATACGTAAACTAAACAGAACAGTTCAAGTTTTTAAAGGGAGCTTGGAAATTTGAAGAATGCAAAGTTAAGACTATTGCCCATGATTCATATAATTATTTTTCTTTTTACTTCCATCCTCATAGCTTCTCTCCTATCCATTAATTCCCCAATTGTGTAATCAAATTTGATCACTTAACACCTTATTGGTTACAAGAACATGTTACTATGTTATTTTAAGCTGTTTTCGGCGAATTACACATAATTAGATAGGCTGGGTTAGGGCTGTCTACAGGATCCCAGCCTAGAATGTGGTGCAGAAGCCTGTTTTCTCCAGGACTCTTGCTGCAACAGGATGTGGGAGAAGGGAAACATTAACAGTAGCAGAACGGGAGGACCCAGATTATGGAGACACGATCCTTGCATTCCAGCACCTCTCCAGCTGATTTAGAAGGGGACACTGAGGGAGACAGACATATGGCCATTTCTAGAATGATAAGCTCTGCTACATGCTGAGAGGACAGGTTCTAAAAGCCAGTTCGTGTGCAAGCAGTGGAGGTGGTAACTGCCCTGCTTCTCCTGCCTAGGGTCACATAGCCTGGCAGATCTGGAAGGGCTTCCCTGAGAAAGTGACCTGGGAACTGATATCTGAGTGGAAATAACTAGGCATTGGAAGGGGGTGAGGACAGGAGAGGGCCAAGCGCTTTCGTGTAGAGGGAACTTGTGTGGAGACCTTTGGCAGGAAGAGGTTTTGCATAGTGGAGGAACTGAAATCACAGTCAGGCTGAAGTACAGAGCAAAGGATGCTGGGGTGTGAGGTGAGGTCAAAAGGTAGACACCAAGACTAGAGGCTGCATAATCTTGCTGGCTGTGCTAATGATTTTCTACCCCAAGAATGCTGCTTCAGGAGATCAGGCAAGAGGTTAGATGGTGGTGAAGGTGGAAATGTAGAGAAAGGAAAAGAAGTGAAATAGAGATTAGTTAGTGATAGATTGGATAAAAAGAGTGAGGGAGAGGGAGGTGTCAGGCTGCTGCCCAGGTTCTGAGTTGCCAAAGAGGGGCTATTTTCCTCAAGGTGATCTAAGGTTTGGAACCACGAATTTTGGTCACTTTTTATTTTGTACGTGAGAAATGGGGAGTTGGCTGTCCGGGTACACACTGTTCTTTAAAAAGGAGGCGCATATTTGGGGAGTGAATGAGTGAGGAGCCAGAGGAGAAGGTGAGTGGGCAGAGAGGCCAGGGAGGAGAAGAGGATGAAGGGAGTCTAGGGACGCACCTGCAAAAAGGAGTCAGGGAAGACACAGCAGAGGCCGGGGAGTGGAGAGCAAGGACGGTGACAGGGAGAAAGAGAGGCTGGGGAACACTGGGGTGGAGGAATCCTGGGATATGACAGTGGTAAAGAATCGTAGCCAACCTAGTCCAATCCTCTCAACGTGCAACTGAGGAAATTAATTTTTATGCTTTTACTTTATTGTAAATGTGACATTTACACTTGAGAATTTTTGGAAAACATAAAGGTGTAAAGCAAATTAAAATCAGTCATCATCATTCCACCTAGAGGCAGCTACTGCTAATGCAAGGACTTTGCTCCCTTTTTCCCTTTGCAATTTTACCAGGGTTCGAATTGTAACACAGATACCATCTTCTGTCCTGCCTCTAAAACTTAAATACCGGTGACCCAAAGTCTCCATTGAAACGGATTGAGACCCGCGGGTTGTGAAACCTACTGAAGTGAGCGGCTGTGCCAGGACTCCTGGGACCCCGACCTCTTTGCAGCTCGCACCGCTAACCGCGAGGGCGCCCTTCAGCAGAAGCAGCCCACCGCAGACACGCCGAGGGAGGAAGGCTGCCGGCGTCGGGGCTTGGGAACTGGCCGGCACCCAGGCCGAAAAGCACGTGGGCTGAGCGGGAGCGGAGAAGAGTGCGCAGGTCAGAGAGCGGCGCGCGGCGCGGTTCCGCGAGGTCCCCACGCCCGGCGACATGGGGTGCCTGCTGTTTCTGCTGCTCTGGGCGCTCCTCCAGGCTTGGGGAAGCGCTGAAGGTGAGTGGAAAGGGGGTGCCTGCCACATGCTGAGGGGACAGGTGCCCTCGCTCGCGGGAGGGTGGAGAGAGGGAGCCGGGCAGGGACAGAGGGCGACGCCTGATGGGGCGGATGAGACCCGGGACGCAGCGGCGCGATCCAGCCAGAATACTGGCTGCTCCCTGGCTCCGGGAGAGGCAGCGCGGCTCAGAGCTCGCGGGCATCAGCCCCTCCTGAAGCTCGTCTTCCTGTTGTTTCTTTCTTCCTTCCTTCTCTTTATGCTGGCTGCTCTCCCGGCCACTTGCTACTCGCCTTGGGTTTCATTCTCTCCCAGTCCCGCAAAGGCTTTTCCCCCTCCGCTGCCTTCAGATCTCCTCGTTCGCCAACAGCAGTTGGACGCGCACCGACGGGTTGGCGTGGCTGGGGGAGCTTCAGACGCACAGCTGGAGGAACGGCTCGGACACCATCCGCTCCCTGAAGCCCTGGTCCCAGGGCACGTTCAGCGACCGGGAGTGGAAGACGCTGCAACAGTTATTTCGGGTCTATCGAGACAGCTTCACCAGGGACGTGAAGGAATTCGCCAAAATGCTGCGCTTAGCCTGTGAGCTGAGGGATAGGATCCTGGGCCGGAACCCAAGGGGAGAGAATGGCTACAGCAGCTAAACTGGGAGACTGTGGCTCCACCTGACGAGACTCTCTGCTCTGTCCACCCTCTTCTGATTTCCCTTCTACCAGGGGAGATGTCCCAGCCTCTGACTCTTCAAAGTGTCCCTCGTTCCTGCCTACTCCAGGTCACTTATTCTCCTTCCCTTGAAGTCTGGGTCCCCATTATAACCCGCACATCGATTTCTTCTCTTTCATCTCTCTCATTTTTTAAAATCCTATTTTGATCTCTCTCCATTCCTCTCCACAGATCCCATGGAGGTCCAGGTGTCTGCTGGCTGTGAGGTGGACCCTGGGAACGCCTCGAATAACTTCTTCCATATAGCATTTCAAGGAAGACATATCCTGAGTTTCCAAGGATCTTCTTGGGAGCTAGCCCAAGAGGCCCCAGATGTGGCAAACTCGGTCATTCGAGTGCTCAACCAGCACCAAGGGACGAAGGAAACAGTGCACTGGCTCCTTAATGACATCTGCCCCCAATATGTCAGTGGCCTCCTTGAGTCAGGGAAGGCAGAACTGGAGAAGCAAGGTCAGCCTGCCTTCCTCACCCCCTGAACTCCACTTCGGGGCTCCAAACGGGGCTTCTCCAATCCGGGGGTCGCATCCCTTTGAGCATTCAAAGGAGAGGAAGGCCCAGGAGGGGCTGGATGGGAGAGGGTATTTATTCATTTCACAGACATCAAATGAGCACCTCTTGGGTTCCATGAATTCAATTAATAAATAACTGGGGTTGAAAAATGTCAGGCAGGTAGTATCCCTACTTGGTGGGGGGATGTTAATTAATGAAATGTTTGAAATTAGCTACATATGTTTCTGCAGGACAAAGGGTGTTATCGGAGAACAGACAAGGGGCATTTATAGGGGGATGGGACCAGAGAAGGAGAAAGAGTATCAGGGCAGGTTCCCTGAAGAAGGTGGCACGAATGGGTTGAAAGTTGTGAGAGGCTTCATTTCCAAAGTGAACATGTGGGGAGCATGAGCCTGGTATGAGGCCTGGGGCCTCTAATGCAGAGTTTTCACTTTAAGATCCCCTCATTCCCTTGTTGGATACAGTGAAGCCCAAGGCCTGGCTGTCCCATGGTCCCAGTCCTGGCCCTGGCCATCTGCTGCTGGTGTGCCATGTCTCAGGATTCTACCCAAAGCCTGTGTGGGTAATGTGGATGCGGGGTGAGCAGGAGCAGCCAGGCACTCAGCAAGGAGACGTCCTGCCCAATGCTGATGAGACATGGTATCTCCAAGCAACCCTGGAGGTGCCCGCTGGGGAAGCAGCTGACCTGTCCTGTCGGGTGAAGCACAGCAGTCTAGAGGGCCAGGACATTGTCCTCTACTGGGGTGAGAAGGAGCTGGGGCCCAGGCTGGAGATTCCAGGAGGTGGTCCTCAGGCATAGAGGGAGGCACTGGGGAAGGCAGTGACTTGATACACCCAGGATAGAGGAGTTTCAGAGATGAGGCCCCCAGTAGAAGGGACAGAGGGGTTTCAGATACAGGAAGGAGGGAAATAAAGACCCCAAAAGTCAAAAAGGATCGAGACAAAGTGTTCTGTCTCTCCTTTGTCTCAAAGACACAAGAAGAAACAAGACTACAAAACTCAAGGATCTAGAGGTAGGCAGCAAAGTATTCCAGGAAGATTCATTCCTTGGCAAAAAGGGAGCCAGGCCTTTGGGAAGGCAGGTTAGCAAAGACGGCTTGGTTGGTTGAGTGCTCCCTATGTAGGGGCCAAAGAATCTGCATATGCTATCTCATCTCATCATGCGCAATTCTCTTTGGAGCAAGTACTGCTCTTCTCATTCAATAGATGAGGAAATGGAGGCTGAGATAGGTTAACTGCTGAAGCCACATAGAAAGTGGATGGGCAGGATTTAGACTCAGGTCTGCCTTGCTACAAAGCTGTTGCCCTTCCCGTCTATGCTACACTAGCAAATGCTGGAGTGGGCTGAATTTGGGATGCCCAGGTTCTGAAAACAAGCTGGGGAGTCTACATTTATGAGGAATAGAAATGGGTGTTTTAAGTGGAGGAGGAAATAAGAAGTACCTGGTGTGCTCACACGTGCCTAGACCAGGGGACTGGATGCAGAGAGGGAGGATCCTGTGCTAAGAGACAGCCTTTTGTCCTCCAGAGCAGGTGGGAGCCGTGCCTCCGTGGGCTTGATTGTCTTGGCCATCCTGGCGTGCCTGCTGTTCCTCCTTGCGCTCGTCATAGGCGTTACCTTCTGGTTTAAGAGGCTGCCGTAAGTCTCCCCTTTCCCTTTCCTCGTTCTCTCTCCCCTTCATTCGTGGGTCCCCTTTTCCCTAACGGTCTTTCCCTTTCTATTCTCTCACAGTTCCTATCAGGGCATCCTGTGACTCGGCTTGCCACATCTGTGTCTCTGAAACCCAGGACCTCTGGACCTCAGATTCCCAGGACTTCAGTCCCGGTTTGCTCAGGAATTGAAGATGGAAGGAGAGATACCTTGAAAATGCAGAGAGCAGTCATAAGGCAGCTCTCATCACACCCTTTCAACCTTTATCTAAAAGAATTTAAATTCTTTTTTTTTTTTTTTTTTGAGATGGAGTTTCGCTGTTGTTACCCAGACTGAAGTGCAATGGCACGATCTCAGCTCACCGCAACCTCTGCCTTCTGGGTTCAAGCAATTCTCCCGTCTCAGCCTCCCGAGTAGCTGGGACTACAGGCGCGCGCCACCATGCCCACCTAATTTTTGTATTTTTAGTAGAGACGGGGTTTCACCTTGTTGACTAGGATGGTCTCGATCTTTTGACCTCGTGATCCACCCGCCTTGGCCTCCCAAAGTGCTGGGGTTAGAGGCGTGAGCCACCACAGCCGGCCTAAGAATTTAAATTCTTCAAAAAAAAAAATTACACTACAAGTTTATAAGCCAAGCGGCTCTATAAAATCAGAAGTGTAGACACATGCAAACTTGTATCTGAAGACCTGCCAGGGACAAGCAGGTGAGGGCTGGGGTGTGAGCGTGTGTGATGGGATCTGCCATGAACTGGAACGCACATGTCCTATCCAGAGGAATCAGCTGCCGCTGCTTGTTGTTAAGTATAAAGTCAGGACCTGGCCTGGTTTTAGCCAGTTTTCAAGAAAACTGGAAATCTGGATTTTCATGCGAATATGCCTGATTTTAAAAGGTTGACTCAAATTTTTTCAAAATACTATGTGGGACACCGCAAATACGTACCTGCTGACTGATGACAAACCCAGGAGTTTGTGTCTTTTTTATAAAAAGTTTGCCCTGGATGTCATATTGGCAGTTTGAGGACACAGTTTCTATTGAAAATTTGGATTTCTGACTGAAGAAAGACATTTTCTCTTTAAAAGAAAATTAGGTTGTAAGAAACAGAGGGGTCTCAGATTTTTACTTGGTGTAATTAATAAATGAAGAGAAATCGTCGTGTATGTGTATTATGTTGAGAAAAGCTACTCTAAGTAGGGATCTTTCTCTCAAATGGTCATCATTTGTTTCCTTGGAAGAAGACTGTCATGAAGGTATCCTTTCCTTCCCAAAAATGATAGCAACAACAGCAATCTCCTTTACTTACCGTTATTCTTTTTTTGAGACAGAGTCTTGCTCTGTGTCACCCAGGCTGGAGTGCAGTGACACGATCTTGGCTCACCACAACCTCCACCTCCCAGGTTCAAGCAATTCTCCTGCCTCAGCCTCCTGAGTAGCTGGGATTATAGGCACCTGTCGCCACGCCCAGCTGTTTTTTTTTTTTTTTTTGTATTTTTAATAGAGATGAGGTTTCACCCTGTTGGTCAGGCTGGTCTTGATCTCCTGACCTTGTGATCTGCCCCACTCCACCTTCCAAAGTGTTGGGATTACAGGCGTGAGCCACTGTACCTGGCCAGGTACTTATAGCTAGTCAAAGAGACAATGGAGGGAAAGGGCCCAGACCACTTGGGCAAGCATGAGCTGCAGTGATGATGGTGATAATAGCCCAGCTATGCTCTGTTCTTTTTTTTTTTTTGAGACGGAGTTTTGCTCTTGTTACCCAGGCTGGAGTGCAATGGCGCGATCTCGGCTCACCGCAACCTCCGCCTCCTGGGTTCAGGCAATTCTCCTGCCTCAGCCTCCTGAGTAGCTGGTATTACAGGCACGCGCCACCATGCCCAACTAATTTTTTGTATCTTTAGTAGAGATGGGGTTTCACCATGTTGACCAGGATGGTCTCGATCTCTTGACCTCGTGATCCACCCTCCTCGGCCTCCCAAAGTGCTGGGATTACAGGCGTGAGCCACCGCACCCGGCCTGCTCTGTTCTTATCTTAGAAAGGACAGAGCAGGAAACTTACAGGAACAGCAGATCTTTCTGATGCCAAAGAAATAAGATGGCCAAAATCATGTTTGCCTAGCTGGGAGGTAATCTCCTGGCAGAAAGGGTCCCTGAACATCCAGAAAAAAAAGTGAGACTTAATTGTTGGAGAGTGTTAGCTTGAGAAAAGTAACATTTCACACTCTCTATACTGGACTTGCACGTATGAATTTAGGGTGAAGATTCTGCTAGCTTCAGCTGACATGTCACTCATGCCTATAATCCAAGTGCTTTGGGAGGCTGAGGTAGGGGCATGGCTTAAGGCCAGATGTTTGAAATCAGCCTGGGCAACATAGTGAGATCCTGTCCTACAAAAAATTTAAAAATTAGCCAGATGTCGTGGTGAGTGCCTGTGGTCCTAGCTACTCTGCTCTGTCTGGAAGCTGAGGTGGGAGGATCCCTTGAGCCCATGAATTCCATGATTGTGACTGCACTCTAGGTGTGACAGAGGGAGACCCCATCCCCATCTCAAAAAAAAATTTTTTTTCTACTAGCTTCTAAATTATGGTTCCAAAATTGTAGTAACCTGACCAGACCAGCAGCCTCAGCAGGACCTGGGAACTTGTTAAAAATGCAAATTGTTATGGGGCCTCGTCCTATACCCACTGAATGAGAAACTCTGGGTCTGGGAGTGGGCTTAATAGTCAGGCCCTCTGGTGATTCTGATGCTTAGCTCAAGTTAGAGAACCACGGTTCTTAGACGTCACACAACTTTCTTAAAATGCTAAGTGAAAAAGGAGATCGGTCTGGCCTTAGGGAGGGCGTCCTGGAGGGAGGGGAATCTGAAGCAGGGCTTTAAAAAACAAAGGCAGTGAGGTAAACCAGCAAGTGCACTGGGCAAGGGGACTGCAGTTCTAGCCTCTGAACCAGTTTCCTCCTGTACCAAACGAGGATAATAACGTCTGTCTTATCTCCTAGGCTTGTGGAGTCAAGTGTGTAATATGTGTGGCAAGCTGCAATGCCTTAAACGACGTGGAGCCTGTTGCTGTGTTTGGTACCACATTGCCCTTGGGTGGTGCTCTTCAGCTTAGCTTCCTCGAGCAGTGTTAAGTTTGTGAATCAACCCCACTGGCCTTCCTCATTCTGAGAGCATGCGTGTTAAAGTCTCTACTGATGTCTTTTTGGAAATGCCTCTGCATGAATTTGCGGTAGCTCTCACTCATCTTTAAACAATTTTAATTTATTTAGGAAATAAAGGCTTCTCTCTCCAGGAAATTTTTTCTTCCTGCAAATACTCAGTTCCAAATATCTCAGAAAATCCCGAGAAGTCATTTTAGAACCTGCTGATACTCTTTATGAATATCATGTTTCTTATTGAGTGTTGTGCTGTGTCAATTTATTACCAGTCTGCTCCAAATTCATCCTTCATAATAGGCTCAGTGATAATGACCAGAGTTCCTTTAAAGTCAGCACATTGTTAGGCTTTTTCAGTGAAGGGCCCTGGAGGGACACAGCAGGAGGAACGGGCTCTCCTGCAGCTTCCAGCTTCTGCAGGGTGGGTCAGCGAAGGAGGTGTGAGGACATCCTGTGTGGTGCTGCCTGTGGTCCCTGCCCCTCCCAGCACCCCATTCTATCTGCAGACCCTCACATCACCTATACTTCATCTACCCACTGCCTGGAAGTGTCCACTGAGCAGTACTTCCTCTGCAAGCCCCTGCCTCAAGCCAGGAGGGTTTCTTCCAGCTTGTGTAGCTACTTCAGGCTGTCTTTGGCCTGAGTAAACCTGTGAATGTCTCTGCTACCCAAGGTATGGGACTGACCGTACCTTCTCCAATAAGCTGTGTCCCAGCCTCGGGGAGGAGTCACCCTTCCGAGCTGTTCTTCCTTGGATATTCTGCTTCTACCCTAGGGCTTTTCATTGAGTTTTCTTAGCTATTAGAATTGTTTTTTTAAAATTATGTTTAATAATTCTGTTAAACTTCCTCTGTTTAACTCACGGTGGAGTTTCTGTTTTCTGATTGACTCAGGAGGATTCATGTGTCTTCTCCGCTATACACAGAAGTCTGTGAACTTTCCAAAGCTACTACGTGAATTTGCCTTGGCTTGTGAGTCTATGGCATGGACTTGGTCCACTCGGCTTTGTGGTGTAGCTCTTTCTTTACAAGCTTAGAATGGATGTTCTTCTTTGCCAAAACCATCCCCGGAAGTGCCTGCTTCACTCTTTTTTGTTTTTCAACTTTTTTTTTTTAGACAGAGTCTCACTCTATCACCCAGGCTGCGGTGCAGTGGCATAGTCTCAGCTCATTGCAACCTCCACCTCCTAGGTTCAAACGGTTCTCCTGTCTCAGCCTCCTGAGTAGCTGGGATTATGGGTATGTGCCACCATGCCCAGCTAATTTTTGTATTTTTAGTAGAGACAGGTTTCACAATGTTGGCCAGGCTGGTCTCGAACTCCTGACCTTGTGATTTGCCTACCTCAGCCTCCCATAGTGCTGGGATTACAGGTGTGAGCTACTGCGCCCGGCATCAACATTTTTTACTGTACATGTTTAGGTTTGTTACAAAGGTCTATTGCATGATGCTGAGGTTTGGAGCACAAACGAATCTCTCTCAGATAGTGATCATCGTACCCAGTAGGTAGTTTTTCAGCCCTTGTCCCCCTTCCTCTCTCCCACTCTTGTAGTCCACTGTGTCTATTGTTCTCATCTTTATGTCCATGTGTACTCAATGTTTAGCTCCCACTTATAAGTGAGAACTTGTGGTATTTGATTTTTTGTTCCTGTCTTAGTTCGCTCAGGATAATGGCGTCCAGCTGCATCTATGTTGCTGCAAAGGACAATTTCAGTCCTTTTAATGGTTGCATAGTATTCCATGGTGTACATGTACCACATTTTCTTTATCCAATCTGGAGTTGATGCTGCCCTACTCTTAGTGTATCCTCTCCTCTCATTGCCTGGAGTCTCTGTTGCTTAGGGCGACTGTAATTGAGAGGCTGTGCTTAATAACTACTCCAGGATGATAGGTGTAAACTGGGACTGGCTCAGACAAACTTTGCTCATTTATTCTTTTCCATTCATGCTGTACAGTTGCTTAAACTGGCTCCTGTTCCTTTTTGGCCTGGACCCTATTCTCAGGCCACATATATCTTCACAGTTCCCACTCCCTGTGATGTCACTTGAAAAGTGCCTCTAGGTGGAAAGGCAGGGAGCAATTAAAGGCTCACCCGGATCATTTTCCCATATTCAGTATCACAACGGTGACTTGCTGCTTTTCTCAATGTCTGAAACACTCGTTTAATATAGTTGGATGATTTTCCACAGGTTCCTTGTTGAAAAAGTTACATGCCAGTTAGTCTTTAATGACTAAGAAAAATGTCCCATTCGTTACTTTAAAATTGTGTATTTAAAAAATCTCAGCTTGCGTTGTAAACCCACTGTGGAAACTTTATTTGTGAATTCGGTGTCAAGCACTGTGAAATCCGGCAGTCTCCAAGGAGATGAGGGAATTGACTGATGCCTAAAATGTTTGGTGAATGACGCTGACAGTAAGGGTGCTTCTGTGTGTTTCTTTTCCTAGCTTTACTTGTTACTCAGAATAATAAGATTTCCTATATCCAACCAGATTTGGTGGTGCTAATATTTCTTACCCTGATGTTTACTCTTAAAACACTGGGTAAACATTTATAATGTTCTTGGTTTGCTTGGCAGAAATGAAAACAAAACTGGAGACATCATTTGTGAAAGATGAATTTTGGTGGTTAGAGAGCTGAGGGCAGTGGCAAAAGCAAAAGGACATGAAGAAGAACAAAGAAAGAACTTGGTGGTGCTGAGACGCGTTCTATATGGAGTAATATGTAAAGGGCTGTTCAGTGAAGACTGAAAGTCAGGAAACTACCAAACACCTGTTCTACAGAGCTAACCATAATCCAGTCTGCAAGGGGCAGCAAACCAAAAGGGAAATAAGAAAAAGCAAAGGATACTTTAGCACAAAGAAGCTGCTATTGGAATCCCATAAAAATATGTATTTTTAAAAGTATTGAATTCAATGTATTTTGAAAAAAATTCAATTTTCTCTCTAGTTTATCTGATGCGATGAATTCATTGATTCTAGATTGGATTACTGGAGCTCTTCAGTGA